ACGTCCACAGCCTTTCCCTCATCCCTTGCTAAAGTCTCCGCGCTCAGGAGGGGAGTTACCTTCGGGATGTGGAAGCCATCCAAGACCGTGTCCTTCACCGTCTGTCTCGGCACGTTGAAAGGGATGATGTTGCTTTTCCTCTGCACCTCGTGGATGACGGCGTTGGTGTAGGGCATGTTGCCCCTGTCCTCCAGGGCCGGCTGCCGTGCCTGCCCGATGACGGTGTCGATCTCGGCATGCACGCGGGCTGGGGGGAAAGAGCAGGGATCAGCCAAGATCCAAGACAAAGCCCTGCAACAACACAGGGGAGTCGCTGCAGGGAGACAAGGCCCGGGACACGTGGCCCTGTTTGTGCCCCTCCTGCGCGAGTGCAGCGAGGTTTCCCGCTTTCGCTCTCGGCACAGGAGCGTCTCGCGAAGCGGCGAGGGCGAGAAGCAAGGAGAGGCACTGGCCTCTCGCCAGCTGTACCTTGGATTTCGGGGTGCATGGCCATGTACAGCAGGGCCCAGCGGATGGTTGTGGAAGTGGTCTCCGTCCCGGCGAACAGCAGGTCGACCGCACATGCCACGAGGTTTTCCTCCTGGAAGATCCCGTTGCCCTTCGCAGAAAGGTGTGTTAGTGCCGCACGGACCGCGAGGGCTGCCCCGACACCAGGCTCGGGCCGTCTCCCCTTTGGCAGCCGCAGCTAACCCCTGGCACCTCCATCCTCTTGATGGGTGCCCTGGCCCTGGTGCCCGTCCTAAGCTCGTGAATGGCCACAGACTCGGCTCGGGGGCAGTCTGGGCGCGTTTCTCCTCCCTCCTGACGGCTGAGCCCCACAGCGGGAGGGTTTGCTCGGAGCTGCTGACCTTGGCTATCTCCTGCAGGTAGCTGTCAATGAAGTCCCGACTCTCCGAGGGGTTCCAGTCCTCCTTGTGTTTCTCGATCTTCTCTTTCACAAAACTTTTCAACAACCTCCAGTTTTTAAAAATGGTTTGGTGGGATCCGGGGAAGAACTTTAGTATGGATGGGAAGGAGTTGTACAGCTTTGGGCAGAGACAAGAGAAAGGCAAATTGAATAAAGAACTGAGAAATCCCTTCTGTGCCCAAGTTTGAGGCGGCTGCAGTACCGCGCTTACTGCATTGCTAGGGTTGGCGCTCCGGAGGAGCGTTACAGGGGGCTGGTCGTCCCGTGACGGAGCGGCTCGTGCACTGCCCGGCGTTGCAGCAGGCGGGTTGGCAGGCAGCGAGCAGGAAAGGTGATGTTGGGGAGAGAGCAGCGTGAGCATTGCACAGCTTGCCATCAGGGCAGACAGAAATGACGGCAAGTCGGCCCTGTGCGAAGGCACAGGGAAAGGCGAAAAGCACTCCAGGTTGCGAGGTCGGCGCCAGAGAGGAGGCTGTGGCACTGCAGCTGTCCGTGTTGGTGGCCGGAGGGCTGTACCTGGCTCATGATGGTCCCGTGGAGGCTAACCGTCTCGTCTATCAGCCGCAGCAGTTTTTGGAAGGCCTCGTCGTTGTAGTCAAACCGATTGCCAAAGGTGATGGAACAGATGATGTTTGAAACGGCGTTATTGATTTTGAAGTGGGGGTCGAAAGGATTCCCTGGAGAAGGAAAGGGAATGATCAGTTCTCTTCCAGTCTTCACAGCGAAGGAGAAGAAAACACAGTTGTCAGGGGTAAAATACTCAACAAGTGTGAGTGAAATGAGTGGCCCCTGCTGGGCACCCCCATGTCACTGCTCCCCCGGGACCCCTCGCCGCCCCCCTGAGCTGGCCAAGCTTGGCTGGAGCAGACATCCCACGGGGTGCCAGGTCAGCCAGGTTACGGCGATGTTTACTCGGAAAGCACGGTCTGCAGGAGGGCGCTCGGCATTTGGGTTCAGCGGGAACGTCGGTGTGTGCACACACGGGGTTTGCCAGGGATCTCCCGGCGAGCGTCGGCCGGAGGTGGGCTGCGGATAACGCTTTGGGTGTTACCTGCGGCATTCGCCAGCCAGTCTGAGGGCAGAGCGCCTTTCGGAGGAGCTGGCGTGCTGGCGCCTCGCGCGAGGGGGGTGTTTTTCAGCAGGCGATGAATCGCGCCTGGGATTGGAACGGGCCGTACCTGTTCCTGCCTTCCCCACGGCTCCGGGGGCCGGGGCACTCACCCTGCTCGTCCAGAAAGGTATCCACGAGGCACCGGCACTCCTCCTGGATGCGCTCCTCCAGGCTCCTCTTCCCCAAGCCGAAGTTTCGGAGGGTGGTCAAGGTGAGCCTCCTCTGCTGCTTCCACAAGTGCCCGTTGGAGGAGACCAGTCCTGGCGGAAACATCGCCGTGAGCCAGCGCAGAGCCCTCCACCTTCTTCCAAGGGGGGAAGCTCCAGGGCTCTGCCTTGTCTCCTGCCAGCCCGGGTCTCTGCAGGGTCAGCACTCGGACCGGGGAGCTGCTGCACGTGTCCTGAGGGATAACTCACCTATCTTGCTGAAGATCTCCCTGTCGATAGGAATATCAGGGCGGTCCATGAAGTTTTCCCCTTGGTTTACAAGAACTTCCTTAATCAGCCGCAGCCCGTTGATGAACACAACCGATAAGCTGCCCATCTGCATGCTGAAGATGTCCCCATATTTTTCAGTAAGCTGGGAATTGGACAAAAATAAATAAAAGGGGTTTAATTTGCAGTGAATGTGTCTGTCCGGGACAGCCCTGGCAGGGTACGGGCAACAATAAGGGAAGCTGAGAGCAGGAGGGGAGACGGGGTGTTGGCACAAGCGTCGGCTTGGCTGCGCGTGGTCTTTCTTTCCTCTTTTCCCCAATCTCTGCTCAGGAGTTGGTGTTAGTTGGCCATAAATCAAGTAAAACTCTCCAGGTTTGATTTTTCAGGCCTGTGTTTTTCCAGCTTTTGCTCCACTCCCTTCCCAAACGCCCTTCCAGTCCCCAATCAGACCCACGGGGCTCCTGCAGCCCTGACGGCACCCGTGGTGTCGGGCCGTGCCCTTTGCCCAGAGGATCGCCCCACGCTTGTGCCCCGCTTCCTTCCGGGGCAAACTTCATCCCGGTGCTGCTGCCCGAGGGCAAACCTCCTGCCTGCCCGGGGTGAGCTCCTGCGGGTCCCCGTGGGCTGCGGGGTCGGGCTGACACACACACGCATGCACGCACACACGCACGCACACACACACACAATCCCACCCCCCG